TTGAAGGGAGTAATGTAGGTCCAACGCAAAATCCCGTAGAACGTTAGGAAACGATGGCGAGAGCCTACGATTCACGCAAACCGACATCTGATGATAATTACGAAAGCAAGTGTTGGTAGGCAGGTATTTCCCCGAGCGAGTCGTTGTCTTCAGCCCAGAACGCAGTGATTTAGGCGCAATGATCCGGGGCTTGCTGGGTTCAAGTTAAGGCGTGAGAAGCGAATTCAATCACAACCCCAGGCAGACGAACAAGTGAGACTCAAGCAAGGGGTCTGACATCCCTCCAATTCATCGGCAACTACCTAACTACGGCATCGAACGCGAAGCCGCAAGCCGGCTAATAGAAGCTCTCGCATGACTGGAAGTTACCGTTACTTACCAGTAGAGCACTCGATACAATTCTAAAAAATACAAAAAACCCGATTTTTTCCACAAAAAGAATCGTTGAAGCGGACGCGCCCAATGACGCGAGTTTCACGCTCCCACCCCGTTGAGATAGAAGGCCATCGGAAGGGAAGGAACTAACTGACTTTAAGGAACCTGATCTTTTACCCTTCGGGCATGTTCCATTATTACAGTTCTTTCATACACTACTAATAAATTGGTTCACAAGAAAAGCCATAGAACAGAAAGTAGAGCAACAGGTGCTTTCAGCGGAAGCTATCATATGGCTCAGCCTTGGTCAGAACATAGTCATCAGTCGGGCTGAAGTGAAGCTGAATAAAGATAGTCCATGATCGAATGCGACGATTTCGACCTTGAACCTGGTTTCTACTTGAATCTTATGCATACTTTATCCATCGTGGCACTTGCTATGAACTTATTTGCTGTATACTGTGTTGTTTGTAAATCAACGAAACAAATGGGAGTATACAAATGGTATCTGCTTATTTATCAAGCAGCTTCCACCTTATTCGACTTCGTGTATACAAGCCTAACTCTACCAGTGATCTTTTTCCCTGTACCAATGGGTTACCCTGGTGCTTGGATTGCTGAGTGGCTGTCCATTAGCTCTCATGCGGCAACTATCACTGTTATTCTAACCTGTTCCATGATGGCTGCTGCTGTGCTGAGCCTTTTCAACTATCGGCTTTTCGTGGTAACCCCAACTCATCATTTTATGAGAATTAGCGACAACGGTAAGTCTCGGTACTGCTACGTTATTGGGCAGTTGTTTCAGTTACTTGTTTGTGATGGTCTCGAACACTCCCCAAGATTTTGGAGAGATTCAAGGGTCTCTAGTGTTTAAAACTATTGATAGTTCCATCCGACTTTCTGACTTCAAAAAGATGGATTGGCGGAGCCATTCCGAAAAAGCTAAACGTTTCCTGCCATCCTCTACAGTCCGCTACGACGACGCATCATCGTTGCAAGCCGTCTCGCGCCTGAAATCAACTGCTGGCACAACACACAGCACTCTGTGTGTTTCTGAATGCTGCTTTTTTACTTCTGGACAGATATAAATTCCTTTATGCTTTCATTTTTTATACCGTTTTCAGGTCACTAGACCCACTACCTCTTAAAGACAGTCCTTTAACAATTATGGCATCAACTTTGAAGCTAGCTATGAGCTCAAATCAATAATTTCCAGGACATAAAAAGAATTTTTAAGGTCACATCTACACAAGTGTGGGTTTATGGGCGCTCTATATTACATTATGCTCCGCTGGCATTATTGATATATTACCGAATCAGACGGAAGCAAGGAAATGGGCAATAGAGGTACTGCATCGTTTTTTCGTGGGTAGATTACTCATAGAGAGATATATTCTCTCAGAGATACTCATGTGCTAAATCTGCAATGTCTGTGCCAAAACTTACTGTTTTCTCTCTGGATAAATTGGAATGGATTGGAACGTTGGTTGGAGGGCTTGCCATTCTCGGACTCATAATTTGCATAGCCTCTGTTATACTCTCTTTTCGTTTTATAAAGAGAAGAGGAAATCTGTCGTCGAAAACAAGACAGATGCAGAAGCGTTTCCTCATTTATCTTTGCGTACAGGTAGGCTATTTAGTCCAATCTTGTAAATTACATACTGCATGTGAAGGAATTTCAAAAATCTTCAACCCCTATGTGACCATTTGTATAGTAACTCCATCCCAGAAGCACCGTTCCATTCAGAAATCCACAAAGGATGTCGATTGTTTGGTGATTCTGTGAGGTTTAAGTACGGGAAGGAGGTTTTTGAATTCGTGACCATTTTGTTTCTTGCTCACGGAAAGCACCTTGTCATCCTAATGAGGGGCCACTGTGATAGGATGAGGGTCTGTTCTGAAAGTGAACTTTTCTTGGCATTTCTTGTCAATTTTCGAACTCTTTCCCTCTATTCATCACCATTGTAGAGGATTGCCCCTTTTCAAGCCCAATTAATGTGCTGTTCCACCTCCCAAACGTTGAATTCCCAATCTCGCTCACTAAATAATATTACAGATATAGCTATGGGTACAGCATAGAATGCCTCATTCTTCAGGTTTCTATTCCAGTCATCAGTCTTATCGTCCCTATTGGAATACTACAGTACGTTTTCAGAACACATAGTAGCACACAGAGAGGTACATGCTTGATTGTATATAAATGAAAGATCATATCTTCTTGGGACTGAAAATGGGAGCAAAAAATAATTCTCTGTACCACTGGCATGATAAGAGAGCTGAATCCAGGAATC